CCTTGTAAAGTGGAGGGGGCTGGGACCCAGGGAAAGTTCGAAGCTTGAGAGTAATGGAAGACCTTGGCGGGGACTGGAGCCGCCTCTAGGGATAGGGGGGCGCAGGGTCAGTATAGAGCGACGGGAAGATGTTGGGAGCGGCAGGCCCCGCCTCAACCGCCTGTCCCTCTGGGCTCGGCCAACCACCTGCCAGCTATCACCAGCTTGACAGCGCCCCCTGCTGGACATCGGCCCTTACATCTCACATGCCAGGACCGGGGCTCTCGGGGGCTGAGACTGCCTGGGACTTCCAGCCTTGGGAGCGGGGAGAGGAATGAGTTCCCTCATCTTGGATCCAGCCGCTTTGGAGTTGGAGGCAAGTGCCTCTTTAAAAATACATAATAAAGTCAGAAAGACCTATGTTCCTGAGAATAACTTCTTGTCCTGCCTCTCCCACCGGGCCTGACCTATCAGTCCCACCCAGGAATGAGGAAATAGTGGTGAAGCTGTCCCAGGAAGGAGCAGCAGCAAAGGGCAGGAGTTCAGGAGTCACCCATAACACCTGGTGACAGGAAAACACAGCAGCCTTGGGCTCCTTGGAACAGCTTCCTGCAGTGTTACATGAGAGCTCAAAAAGCTCTGGTAGCCCCTAAATATGGGTTGTCCTCTCTCCTTACCTGCCATAGTATAGGACTACAACCCCATGACTAGATACAGGACTCATTCATTCTTTCAATAAACATTTATTGAGCACCTACTGTGTGCTAGGTGCTGTGCTAGGTGCTGGGGATACATCAGTGACTAACACACAGTCCCTGTCCTTGAGGAGCTCACAGTCTATCGGAGGGGAAACATATAAACACGTAACTAAGGAGCTACCATGTGCTAAGTGCTACAGTAAGAGGTATATACAAAGTGCTGTGGGAGCCCAGAGGAGGGAGTAATACATCAGTTCCTGGGGGCAAGTATCGAGTCTCTTAACTCCATTAAACCATTGAGAAGGCAGGGATGTTGTTGCCACACGACCCTGGTTAAAATGAATGTCTCCCAAGGTTCTCTGCTAGCCCTCTCCCATAACTATGTCAGCACAGGTTAGTTTATCAAATTAGCTCATTTAACACTTTGAGTTAGGGAAGAAACTGGACAGGGAAGTTTCTTTAGGAGTACAGGAGTGTTCAAAACAGTAACAACTCGGGTGGGGGAACCATGAGGGCACTGAGTCAAGGACTGCAGGCCCTGGGCTGTGGAACACCCGGGGTGAGTGCCTATGCAGAGGAGGGGTTGGTGTCATCTACCTCAAAGTTTGGTCCTCATCGCTCACCAGTTCAATCAGTAACCATTTGCTCACTAGATGCTTGGTATGTAGTGTGCCCTGCTTTGAGTGATATAGTCACCCACCCCTCAGAAGATAACATGCTAATTTGGGAGACTAAATAAGTCCAGGTCATTGACAATTTTAAGTAACAGTTTGTGATTATAATAGAGAAGATGTCACAGGCTATTTGTGGTCAGTTGCCTAAAGAGTAGCAATTGCTATGAGTTTCAAATAAAGAACTCTGGGGAGTCAGCTCTCATGAATTGAGTCTTGAAGGATGAATAGGATTAAATTGGTATTAGAGGGGTTGGAGGAACATTCTGGTTGAGCAGAACCAAGTAAAGCAAGAACACAGGGAAACTCAAACAGGCTTGTTCAAAGGCCAGCAAGCCCATCGTTTTGGCTGGAGCAATACAGGAGGTGGGAGAAGCAATGTAAGAAGACAGCTGGTAAGTCAGATGGGACCCAGTGACAAAGTACCTTGATGGAAGGTCAAGGACTTGGGACTTTGTCTGAAGACAGAGATTATGCTAAGCTCAAAATACTTTTGGAACTACTGCCCTGAGCTCTCAAATGCCCTCCTCCAGGACCCTTGGACAGCCTCATGATTCAGCAAATGGTTTCTAATCCTAGAATGGATTAAAGTGGAGACCCTAACCCCTGGGCCTTGGACTGATACCGGTCCATGGCCTGTTAGGAACTGGGCTGCATAGCAGGAGGTGAGTGGTGGGCAAGTGAATGAAGTTTCATCTGTATTTGCAGCCGTTCCCCAGTGGTAGCATCACTGCCTCAGCTCCACCTTAGATCATCAGGCATTAGATTCTCATAGGAGTACCAGTCCCTGATGCCAAAAAGGTTGGGGACCACTGGATTAGAGGTTAGGTATTTTGAGTGTCACCCCTACCTGTAGGCAATGAGGATCCCCTGAATTCTTTTTAGCAGAGGAAGATCAGAACTGGTGCCCTGGCAGATTGGAGGGGACAAGACAGGTCACAGCAGGGCTATAGATGTGTCTGGGGAGGGGGATAAGCTCTGGGTAATTTGAGGCTCTGGAAATGTGGTGGAAAGGCCAGATTTGAAATATATAGCAAGTGGTGCTGGACTTCAGGAGATGGGGAGAGGATGGGGTCAAGTGAAGTTAACCATCAGATGACTCTGAAATGTCCAGCTTAGGTCAGGAAAATGGGGGCATCATTAATAGAAATAGGCAAGTCATGACAGCTTTTCGTTTTGTTTTTTTCTTGGCAGGGTTTTGTGCGTATGGAAAGACTTTCAAAATCAGCTTTCAGGAGAGGGGCTGTTTTTAAGGGCCTTGTGGGCATCTAGGTGGAAATGTCCAGCAGGACCATGGACATGCAAGCCAGGAGCTGAGGAGAAAAGTGGGGGCTGCAGCTCTAGATTTCTTACTCATCCCTGAAGAGCTGAGCCAAAGCCAAGAGGATGGATGAGACTCTTGGGGGATACTCACAGATGCAGAGCCAGCATGGGCACAGAACCGGGCTATGGAGGGCAAAGTTGAGTCTGGCTAGTGCTAGCGGGGATGAGAGGTAGTGTCCCATGCTGTGAGGGTTCACAGGAGCCAAAAACTTTGAAGACGTTTGATGTTACCATGGAGACATAAGTGACCTTCAAATGATGAGTTTTATGGAGTTGAGGTGAAGGGGTCAGGGCCACCCATAACCCATGCAGCACCTTTATACAAAAAAATTTCAAAGGTGTCTCTTTCCACCATCAGGAAATTGTCAAAAAAAAACTGATTTTATTAGAAAAAAAGCACTTTAATGCCAAGTGCTAGAATGTATAATCAATACACCTGCACAACTATATATGATTCCCTTGTGGGGGAAAACAAAAGTGGGAGAGGATGATAGTAGGCTTGGCAGTGACTAGGAGAGAAAGAAGAACAACCTGGGGAGGTAGTTAGATCAAGTGGATGGTTTTGCACTGAGGACACAGCCAAGGTCCTAAGGCATTGATTCACATTAACCAAATTCACCAGATAATGTAATTATTTCCAAGGTTGATATGTCTTAGCTCTTAGCGTTGCCCCCAAATTTGGCAGGAGAGAGGCAAGCTAATTCAAAGAAGGGAGAGGGGAAGATCCAGGTCCTAAGCTGAAGAGTTGACTTTAAGAGACAATTGGCTGACCCTTCCTCAGAGAGAGGAAAAAGGAAAGCAAGGAGCCATGTAGAGGCAGGAGAGGTGCCATGGGAGCTCATATCTGTTGGCTCCTGTTTTCTTGGTGAAGAAGGAATTGGTCAGGTGTGAAAGTTGGAGAACAGGGGCAACGGTCCACTTGAATGTCTGCTGTAGGCATGGTGGGGGCAGGTGGGTTGGCAAACTTACAAGATGATTAGAAGGTGGGCTGTGCAACGGGCAAACATGAGCAGCAATGGAAGCAGACACAATCTACACTGCTACACAGCTACCCCCAGCAATGCCTGACAGCAGGAAAATATCAGGAGTGAAATGAATCAAGACAGAACCCAGGACTCAGGGTGTAAGCCAGGTGCAAAGAATGGTCTTACAGCTCCAACCCTTTATGCAAACATTTAAGTCAGACTTGGTGGCTGGGTCTGATTCTGGAGGGACACTCGGCCCCTTTCTAACACTTCAGCACAGCCTTCTAGGGTGGCCAAGGTTCCAGCATGCTGACAAGTGTGTTGGGTAATGAGGCCGACTCCAGGAAGAGGGCCTCAGTCTAGGCTGGGGGCTGCTCACCAGCGCTGAGTTCTTTTCCCTCTCTTGTGCTTTTATCCCACTCGGCCTTCTGCCCCTAGAACTGCATCTGTTCCAACACACACGCCAATCAAAGCTCTGCTACCCTGGACCTGCTCTAGCTCTGTGACATCTCTCTAGATTTGGGGGATCCAACCTGCACCCCATAGTCTCAGAGCAACGGAATTTTGGTTTGTACAAAGGGAACTAGAGAATGCTTTTCCTTAAAACAAATCCTCACCTCTGCAACTGACCCACAGAGAGACACATGTTCTTGAATATCTCATAGGTGCACCCTCGTTCTAAAGAAACAAAAATACAGACCCATGAGTACACTCAAAATACATACCGAGATATTCACGTATGGGATAGTAAGTTCTCTGTAGAGGGAACACAGATGGTGAAATACAACCAGGCAAATTAGGGCTCCTCCCATGAAGCCCCTGCACCCTCCATGGCCACCACCTTCTCAAGAGATTATCCCTTCATCACCACATCAATCCATCACCCCTGATAAAAACATATCCCTTAATACTCTTGAAGGCCATGGTCTGACGCCAGGAATGCTCAAACTGGGCATAGCTTGGCCATAGTGATATCAGGCAGGGGTGGGTGACAAAGAGGATATGGTGTATTAACATCTCACCAAAATTTAAGGGCAGGTGAGCTATTTAAGTCAGTCTCTGCTAGAGGCAGTCCATATGAAAATGCTGCTCAGCTTTTCCTGGCAGGTCATACTTTCCCCACACCTCTGTTTATATGTCATGGGGCTCCATCTTAATGAGAGAAGTGGGGTTAAATGGAGAGAAGGGGGCTGAGGTTGGGGATCTAGTCAGCAGGCTCCCAGATGTGCTCACGCTAGGCTCAGCCATAAACAGGGACCCTGAGCCTGAGGAGAGCTCAAGTTCAGCCACTGGGGTCAGCCCAACAGTTGGGCGGCTGGGAGGAGAGAAAGTCTGGTTTCCCAGATGGCTTGGATTGTGGGAACCCCTTGAAACCACGTGGGTTGGAAGTGGCTGAAGGTGAGCCTGATCCCTCAGGAGCTCCCTCAGGGTCTCTTCAGGAACCAGCAGTCCCTCCATGGGGGCCCCGGTCACCATGCCCTGCACATATGAGGAGGGCCTCAGTGGCCCCTCCTTGACCCCAGGAGCTGCTGTAGCACTGGAAGTCCTGATGAAGGCAGCAATGACAGTCCCAGGGGGCTGAGAGCTGGGCCCTGTTGCTCCAGCCCCTGTGACTGGGGGTGCTGCTGGATTAGTCGGATGGTTGGGCCCAGCCAGAAGTTGGGGGAGGCCACTGAGAATCAGCGGAGTCCCCGGTGCTGCCACCTGGCTCTCTTGGAAACTGGTGTTCAGGGGGAAGGAGGCCTGCAAAGTGAAGGTGTCCTTGAAGGTGTCCTTGAAGGTCGAAGCAGGTGGAACACTCTGGAGAACTAGCTGGGTTGAAGCAGTAGTACTGGTAGAAGGCCCGTTGGTCAGCACTGTGGTTAGCGGGATTGTCTGCAGGGTCAAGGCTGAGCTTGACCCCACAGGGGCCACTCCTAGGTGGATATTGCTGGGTACTGACGAAGCACTGAGAAGAAACAGACAAGAGATTTGGTTAAGGCAGGAAGCATCTCCTAACTGGCTAGAAAGGAGGGCACAGAAGGAAAGGAGCTGAAGGTGTTTTATTTCTTCATTGTTTCAGCTAATACTTACTGAGTACTTAGTATAGGTCAGAAATACTCAAAATTATTGACAGATAGTATTTCCCTCAATCTTCAAAACAGCCCATGAATTGAATAAGATTAATCTGATTTTACAGCTTGAGGAAACTGAGGCACAGAGAGGTTATGTCACTTGCCCTACATTACACAGCTAATAGCAAGGACTCACATCTAGGCTCTCTGACTTGAGTTCGTGTTCCTAACTGCTTCATTCTACTGCCTTCCCTCCTTAGAAGAGCATTTTGGTGACCCATGCCAGAAAGATAAAGTCCAATTGTCTTTCACAGAAAACTGGAAGCACTTAGCATGTACAAGTATCAAGAGCTTACCAGGTGGGCCTGGAGGGCCTCAGGAAAGTAGAGTGAGCCTCTCTGTAACATTCTCTGTTGCCTCTTTTATGGAGTGGAGATGGTTCGTGGGGCGGGGGGGAGATGTGGAAGCCTCTGGTGGCTGATTGGGGAGCACTTTGGAGTGAAACGAAGAGCTCCAGCTGGTATCAGAAGCCCCCCTACCCCAGGTCAAGTGCTGGCTTTACCATTACTTTAGTATGTGACCACGGGCAAGTTGCTTTTCCTCTCTTGACCAACAGATGTCCCCACTGGTTTCCCAGGGATTCTGCGAGGATCCCACAAGACTGGACATATAGCAGAGCTTTGCAAGAGGTTGAAAACTGAGGCCCCCCCTCAATCTGAGGTATTATGGGAAGACTCATAATGCCTTGCGTGTCCTTACCTCACAGCTTTGGTGAGTTTGGCCTGGCCCTCAGATGGAGAGACAAACACAGTGGAGGTAGTGGGGCTCTCCTCATCTAGAGACAGTCCTAATTCCAGACTCGCAGATGGCTGTAGACCAACGTGCTGAACCCTCGGCTTTTCCCAGGGAGGGCTACTGTTGCTCTGGGAGGCAGGCCTGCATGAAACCCTGGAGCTGGTTCTCCGAGCAGTGCTCATGGAGGAGGCAGTGGCAGTGGAGGCCTGAGGGGATGCCTCTTTGACTTCACTTCTCTCATCTTCATCTTCGATCACCACTAGGTCCTTGGGCATCTCCTTAAACTGGTACACCAGCCTCTGCCCTTCAACTTTGGCAAGAATGCCCCTTTGGTAGTAATATCTGGGAACAAGGAGTGGGGAGTTAGGGACATACCACCCTCCAAGGCAGAGCAGGCATGAGGCAAAGAGTGGCCAGGGCCAGACAGGAGCCCACAGGCAAGAGCAAGAGACTCTTGGACTTGGAAAGCTTTTATGAAATTTCTGAGATCTCCCATGAGGACTCAAAGGATCCAGAAAAAGGAGTTTCAAATACCAACCCCCACCCTGCTTTGGGGTAGAGGATAAGGGGTGAGTGAAGGATGATGGGAAGGGATGGATAGATGATGGGGGATTTAGCAGTCCCCCAGCTGAGACTAACTATGGGTAACTCTGGCCCATCTCCCTAGGTCCTTGGCTTGAAGAATGTGAAGAAAGCCTTTCTTGGGGATGGGAGGCCCTAAAATGTTCTCGTACTAAAGGAAAAAAAGCTAAGACAGAGCTACAAGAGGGAGGAAATTTTTCCTCCCAGAGGTGGCTTGGGGAATGGGTTTAGGGGTATGCAAATAGCAAAGTTAGGAGACCCTAAAGTGGGAGGGCCTCCTTGCACATAAGCAGAGCTTGGTGACTCAGGGCAGGGTCCCCCAGCAACTCCTACCTTAGTGCCCGCCCCATTGTCTCATAGTTCATGTCAGGTTTGTTTTTCTGCTTCCCCCATAGCTTGGACACAGCTTTGGAATCCACCAACTTGAAGATGCCTTTCTCTCGCTGGGTCCACTTGATGTACTTGGGGCAGGTATTTCTGTCTTGCAGAAGTGCCAGGAGGAACTCCCACAGATAGATGGTGCTGCCTGCAGAGGGGAAAGCCAGTGAGGGGTGGCCCCGGCTCTTTTCCCACCTCACCTGACTCCCAGCCCTACCTTTGCCATCCTTAGATTTCTTCCGAATGGGGATGCTGGGGTCAGTGACAGGTGAGGTACTGCGGGTGCCCTTTGTCTTCCGGACTGTGAGGAGAAGGTGAGAGCAGGATGAGGCTGAGACCATGACAAGAGCTCCAGGGCAGGCTTCCAGGAAGGAGAGCCCAGAGCTTATCAAGTTGGGAGTGACAAGACAGACAAGAAAGAGCCAGGTCACCAGGGCTGGTGGTCCAGGATCACTCTCCATGGCCAAAGCCCTCAGGTACGTGCACCTACCCAATGGTCCACCTGCATTTTCAGGCCCCAAAGGTAAAACAGAACACCGCTATGGTGTGGGGCAATGTAGTGCATGCACACGTTGTTCTTCTAAGTCACCCTTAGAAGAACAGAACTCATCTACCCTAATTTTTGAAATGAAAAGACAGCCTAAAAGTGAAACTGCAGGTAACTGTGGCATTGGAGTTTTGGTTGCCACGCTGACAAAGAAGTATCATCCAGCCATCACCCAAGTAAATCAATAACACTGGGGCTTGGGAAAGCCCAAAGTCCTCTCTCATATACAGTCTTGGCTCCATGAGTGCCCGGAAGGAAGATAAGCACATGGCAGTGGCCCCCATGGGACGAGGGACTGGCCAGAGGGCCAAGACTGGTGTCTGAACAGCCTAAGATTCAACATGTGTCTGTGAGCCTCTACCCATTTACCTCTAAGGTCTCCCTCTCCTACCACCCTCCCCATTGAAGCCTCTCTCTCTTCCTCTCCCTCTCCCTCTCTCCCTCTCTTACTTCTCTTCTTTGATTTTCCAGTCTTCTTGGCACCTTCCTCTCTGGGGACCTTCTCCTCCAGAGAATGCCCCTCCTGGTCACCAGCGTCACCAGCTCTGTTCAGGGCATCGGGCTCAGAGACAGGAAACAAGTAGTTGGGCAGAGTGACGGCTGGAGCAGAGTCTGAGTCTGGAAGCATTTCGGAGGTGTTGACTGCAAGAATAAAGGCCTGAGGTGGCTGAGGCCCAGTGCAGGGTGGGAGCATGGTCTCCCAGCACTCAAGAGTACGGCAGGCTCCCAGAGAAGGCAGAGTTACTGTTCCCCTCAGCCCAGACACAAGATACACCTGAAAACGCCTCATGTGTCTTGCACCATGAGGAGAGGAAACATCTGCAGAGTTGTGGGCATGAGCCAGCCCCAATCATGGCTGTCACATTTTGAGCCCACTACTGCTGGTGAGGAAGTTCCAGGTGACACCCAGGGTAAAGGGCCACCTTGATTTAGTCATTCACTCATTTTTACAACTGGAAGGGGCCTTAGACAAAATTTAATCAAATTCTTCTGCTTTCTTGATGAGGAAACTTAGACCTAGAGATGGCAGGGCATGTGCCCAAGTCACACAGCAAGTTGGTACCTGGTACATGTACGCATTCAGTAACTATCTGTTGAATCCTGAATGAATATTAGTGACAGAGCTAGGATTAGAAATGCTAGGACTCTTAACTGGCAGCTTCAGGGCTTGCTTTCTTGCACTGTATCCCAGCTCCCCCTTGGGAAGGGGCAGTTAGGGCCAAGGATCCTCCTGTGGAGTCAGAGCAAATGTTTGAGGGGTTCCTGAGGGAGAAGCCTGCCTTGGGGGCCTTCTGGTGACTGAGGGCCAACGTCTAAGAACAAGGAAGGGATGAGGGGGTTCCAAGCCTGGTACATTTTAAAATAAGCCACACACTGCATAGCCCTCCTGGGAGCCCAGTAAGAGAGCAGACGGGCCTGAAAAGTCACTCTGGCCAATAGTATTCAACCTTTAAAAGGAAGGAAATTCTGACATGTGCTACAATATGAACAGGCCTTGAGGACATTATACTTAATGAAATAAGCCAGTCCCCCAAAGAGAAGCACTGTATGATTCCACTTATATAAGGAGTCAAATTCATAGAGACAGAAAATAGAAGGGTGGCTGCCAGAGGCTGAGGGGAGAGGGTAAATGGGGAGTTGTTGTTTAATGGGTACAGAGTTTCAGTTTTGCAAGATGAAAAGAGTTCTGGAGATGGATGGTGATGATAGCTGCACAACCATACAAATGAACTTAATACCACTGATGAATGGTTGAGGTGGTCAATTTCATGTATATTTTACCACAATTTAAAAATCGGGAAAAAAGTGACCCTGGCCATCTTTTCCTTGTCTACAGTGCCCTCTTGCCCCCTCCCATTCCAGTCACAGCTCAAGAGCATGTTTATGTGTATGTTGGTGGGTGTGGGTACACATGCCTGCATGTACATGTGCCTGAGAATCCAATACACAGATGCAATCTTTTAAAATGCCATTTTGTGTTGCCTTGAGTTAAGACACCGGGGTTCAAACTTACAGATCTGCTTCTCATCCAGGATGTTGTTGGGAGACTCAACATTGAGCAACACTTCAGTGGCTGACATGGTTTGTGAGGTTGCTTCATTGTCATCTAGTTCCAGGTTCCATGGTGGGAAGGAAGAAGAAAAGTTCTCTCAGGGTACAGGGCAGGGGGTACAGCCATAACCAAGGCCAGCCCAGAGAGTGGTGCTAAGGAGCCAAGAGATAGCCAGAAAGGGACCAACGCACCTCTCACCCTAATCTTCCACCTTCTCTCTACACCCACCCCAGCCGTCTCCACTCCTCATTGTTCCCCTCAATCTTAAAAGATCACGAATCCATTTAGATGTCTCTCTTCTATGAAGTGGTACTACCCTTTTGTTTGTCCTAAGAGCCCCATCTAATTTCCAACTGTTGGGGCCTTTGCCCTTGCTGCATGTATCACTAGAAGCAATTGTGGAATACTGTTCCCTGAAGACAGAATCCCTTTCTCCACCTCCACCACACATTCCCTGCCCAAGAAGGGGACAGACCTGCTACCAAAAAACTACCCTCCAAGATCTGATCCTGCGTCATGCACAAGGTCCTGTCCGTTATGATGCCATTGTGAACGTCATCCAGTTCCAGTCCTGAGTAGAGATGCAGTAATTCAGGGTAGGGTACCTGCTCCACAATCACAGCTGGGAACACTGAGGGGTCTTCCAGCTGTGGAGAAGAGAGGGATCTGGTTCAAGACCTATCTGCCACTTCCAGGAAGCCCACACTACCAGAAAATCTGATCCTTCTTACAATTCCTAATTCTTAGAGTCCTCAGAGGCTGTCCTTCGTATGAGATGACATTACTCTGGGTCCAACCTCACTAAATGATACTTTGAGTGGATTCTTAATTAATAGCGATGGGTTAGCTCTGTACTACCTGTGCTAAACCAAGGGCAGGCAATGTTAATTGGTTGTAGTTACGAGTTAATCCATGGCCAGGGTTGGTGCTCAGTCTAAGAGAAGGGTTAGGCTCATTCTGAGGCCAATGGGAAAGGATTACTCAGTGGCAAGGACAAGGGGCTTGATCTATAGCCAATCCTGACTCAGCCTACAGTCAGGATTGGGTACCAGAGTTAGGGGTTCAGATCGTGGACATCTTGGGGCTCGGTCTGTGGCAATGAAGATGGAAAAACAGGGGCATTATAGAGGTAGAAAAGTAAGGCCCCAGCCCCTGCCTGGGTTGGAGAGACTGTTCCAATTTCCAGCTTGATTCAATGAGTACATAAGGATATTGTTCATGTTAAGGGGGGACGCGGGAGGAAGAGGGGCAGGTTTTTGGAGAAAGGTAAGGGGTACCAGTGTCTGAATATGGTGAGTTTGAGTTACCTTAGAGATATTTAAAATGGAGATACCTCTGAGGGAGTAAAAAATATGTTTCCAGGAGCTCAAAAGGGTGGTTGCTAAATCCTTTGGAAGGGATAAAATTATCGGGATGAGAATTCGACCCCAGGAGGACATAGCTGTTCTAAAATCAAACAAAGCTAAAGAAAAAAGGAGTGTGGTTTTTCAAATTTAAATTTTTAAAAAATTATGTATAGAAGGAAATCTATCAGCATGCTCATAATTATTATATTTTGGTTGTGGGACTTGGGTAATTTTTTCCCCCTTCTTTCTACTTTTCTGTATTTTCCAAATTTTCTTTCATGGGACTGTTAATAATTTCTTCATGGAAAAAGAATGAGAATGCTCAGTCTTGCCTAGTGTTCCTGAAGGATCCAGAGTAATAAACACTGATAAAACTCCTTTGAGTTGGGCAGTCACCCTGGCTAGAGCAGTTTCAGGGGAGTGCTGGGGTCCCAAGGTACATTACAATGGATCACAAAGAGGACAGACTGAGGCAGGCAGTAGGGTATAGTGATTAAGGTCATAAAGTTAAGAGCTATCTGTCCAATATGATAGCCACTAACCATGAGTAACTATTTAAATATAAATGCAATTTTTTTTTCAAGATTAAGAATCAGTTCTTCAGTTGTGCTAGCCAAGGTTCAAGTGCTCCATAGCCACATGTGACTAGTGGCCTCATACTAGATAGCTCAAATATAGAACACCTTTAGCATCTCAGAACATTCTATTGGATTATGCTGATATAGAGCCAGACTGCCTGGGTTTGAAACCAAACACTGCTACTTACTGGCAGTATGACCTTGGGCATTTTACCTAACCTTTCTGGTGCATCGGTTTCCTCATTTATAAAATTGGGGTGATCATATTATGGACCCCATAGGATTGTTTAAATGGATCAATATATATAAAGTACTTAAACAGGGTCTGGCAAAGAGTAGGTTCTCATTGTTTTAGGTATCAGGGGCTTTTAGGAGACTGGTAACATTTTATTTCTTAACCTGGGTGGTGAGTTCATGGATGTTCATTATATAATTATTCTTTAAGTATATATACATGTACATACACACACACATATATGTGATTTATGCACTTTTTTGTATTAATGATACATTTTGCAATAAAAATTGTTTCCTAAAAAGAGTGAAAGAAGAGAAGTAAGAATATAAACACAGAGGGTGGAGACTATGCTGGGGAGAAAAAACGGTGCTAAAAAGGTGGTATTTTGAAGGAGGTGGGTGGAAGAGAGGCAAGGTTTTTTTTTAAGGTTGGGGAAACCTGAAGATGTTCTAGGTTTAGCAGAAAGGTCTAAGAGGACTAAAAGATATGAGAGAAAGGAGGTGATCGATGGCTTGAGGTCTTGAAGGAAATAGGAGAGATGAGGTTAGGCACAAGCACGGAAATTACCCTTGGAAGGAAGAGGGACACTTCTTCCTGCCAGGTCAGTAGAAAGGAAATAAGAACAGTGCTCTTATCAATAAAAGGGAGGATAAAGGGAAACGGAGGGCATCCTTGGCTTTGAGGTTCTCTGTGAGTTGGGGGAGAGGCTGTCTACTGAGGGTGGAAGGGCACGTGTGGTGTCGGGAGATACAGGGTTGAGAGCTTCTATGAACAGCCTCTATGAAGAACAGAAACAGTTGCTAAGCAGGCTAGAAACAAGCAAAAAATGACCAGTAGCATTGAGAACCCAGTTAAGGTTATATTTTTCTTACTTTCTCATCCCATAACGCTTTCCACAAGGCTAGGCAAACCAGAGGTGTTCAATAAAACTGAAGACCCAGGTAGACAGAAATTACAATGTGCTCAAAGCCCACTAGGGGGCAGCCTTCTGTAGGCGGCTAGAGATAAGGCAGTATTCCATCCTTGCAAGGATTTAGGATAGAGAGCATCAGAATTAGGCTGAGATCCAGTTGAATCTACTCTTGGTGAAGATGGAGAGAGATGGCAACCAGATAGGGTAGTGGACAGGACTTGCCTAGGTGGCCAAACTGAGATCAGAACCCAGGATTGCTGACTCCTAATCTTTCATTCCTTCTACAGTACCTGGTTGCCTCTTCTCCAGTTTGTGAAAAGAAGGGAATGAAGGATGGCAATGAGTGTGACAGGACACCATCCAATGGGTATAGCTAAGTGCACAGAAAATATGCTCTCTTAGCCCCAGTGTAGGGCAAGGTATGGAGCAGTGGGGGCCCAAGCATCTGAAGTCTGTCCTATTTTCCAACTTCCTCCCACCTAAAGACCCCCATTTCCAGTTTATCCTGAATCTCAGATTGAAGCTGCAAGACAGTTATGGAAAGATTCACCAACCAGGCTAGAGACATGAGTCTGAAGGTGCCACTGATTGGACTCTGCCCTGCAGTTCTAGCTGGCGATGTTCACTCTTGCTATGTGGTTGTTCCAACAGTTTCTTACTATGGCGCTAGTGGTGAAGGGAAGTGACTGAAAATGCACAGGAAGGTCAGCGCACACCTGTGCATTCAGCCCACGTTGCTGACTGGCCAACAGCTCAGGTGATGTATTTAGCAGCTGCTTGGCTGACTTGGTGACTGCATGTGTCCTGTAGTTGAACGTGGGCAACTGGCTCACTAAATGACCACCCAATGATTACTGAATGGACTCATGAGTGACTAGCTGGCACACAGTCTGGCTGGCAAGCAGACCCAGTGCCCTGAACCAAGTAGGTGCTTGATCAATATTTGCTGACTAGCTAGCTGGCCAGCTGGCTGGCTTACTGGCTGTCTGCCTGCCTGTCTGTGTCTATCTGATCAAGCTCTGTTCTCTGGGGCCATACCTGGTGTATATCATCCATCCCGTTGCTCGCAAATTCAAATATCAGGTCACTAGACTGCAGAGTAATAGCCATGCTGTCTTCTCAGAGCTGACAGCAGGATTCGCAGGGCTCTCTGGAGCTGCGGGGTTTTCTTGACGAAGAGATGTTGCTCAGGTACCTTGGAGCTTAGAGCCTACCCTGAGCCACAGCAGAATATGGGGTGTAGAGAGCTGGAGTAGGTGGTGATCTAAGCCAGGTTCAAGGCTGCAAGATGGGCTGGACAATTGCAGGAGTAACCTAGAGAGAAGGAAGAGATGGGGGCAGTGAGTAAGTCACCTCCCTTGAGCTCTGTTCCCAGGACAGCTGGTGAGCCAGAATGACCCTGCCATGCCAATGCAGACTGCCAGAAGAGGGATGGCTGAAAAGGGAGGACAATGGGAGAAGACCAGGAAAGGAGAAAAAAGGAGGTAGGTAACGGAAGGAGGAAAAAGAGGAAATTAACTGAGTCACCTCCAGTGGGAAGTGGCCAGGCCTCAGCGCCAGTCTGAGTCACCAGCATTTGTACCTGAGCTGGCCTTGAAGATACATAGCCTCCCTCCCATCCTTCCCTCACTCTTCTGGAGAAGATGACAGATATAGGGACTCTGGTCTCTCTCCACCCTGAAGATTAATCTCCAGGGTGCAGCTACAAGGAAATTCAAAGCCTCATGAATGGAGCAATAGCATGAAAAATCCCTAAAATTCCCTTGGCTCAAGAAAGAATCTTGTGGCGGGGGAGGACCCACAGGTGTACAGGGTACTCTTCCATACTCTGCCTAGCTCAGTTTAACCCAGGAGTGAGGGCCACCTAGCTCTCAAGGGCAGAGTCTACAGAGGAAGAAATGTCTCACTGTGAGGCTTGTGTTGTCAGCCTGACCCTGCTTGTGGGGATGGGACTCTCAGACATGGCCACACCTCCAGAGAGCCTGGAGACAGAGGGACAAGTGGGACATACGCTGTGTGCACTTGTCACCACTCTGTCACCACTGCTGCTTGGCCAGAGATGATGGCTTCTGTGCTGGTTGTGGGTTTATGTTCTTGGTTCAGCTTTGCTTTCAGTTTCAAGATTGAACTGTCACCCTGGGAACTTCTAAGGAGAGCCCCAGCTGGAGGAGGGGCGCAAAGAACATTTCTCATCCTCCAGGTCTGGGTCAGAGGCCCCCCTTTTCCAGGACATCTATTTACTGTAGACCACATGTCCCTCTTCTCCTTGAATGCCTCTTGTGCTCACAATCTGCACCTCAGGCATTCACATGGCATCCAGGCCTCCAATTGTTTCCTTTGCTTACTACTCTCATACATGTTGTCTACGGTCCACATTCATGCCTGCTTCCCAAAGCCTTAGCTGCCACTCCTTGCACATCTTTCCTGCCAGTCTACTCCACTCCTCCAGCCCTAAACAGTTGGGCTTCCCCACTTCTAGGTGCCAGGTCTTTGGCTCTTAGGGTTCTGTTTTTAGTAGAATGTGTGTGTGTGTGCACGTGAAGTGGGTCTACATACAGACAGCCTAGTTCAACCATGAGCGCCTGAAGAACTGGGGTCACGCACCATAGTGGGAACAACAGACTTGACCCCTACATCCTTGACACTCTTTTGGCAGTGCCAGGGTGGCAAAATCTTCTCCTTGCCTGGAAAGAAATGAGGAACTTCAGAGAGGGGCAAAGGGGAGGGAAGGAAGGGGGACCATGGGTGACCTCCCTGATGACCGCTTTACCCCCAGGCCTCTCCCACTTCCTTTCCGTTAGCCCACAGGGCTGGCTCCACCCTCTCCCCACCCCCATCTTCACCCCCACACCTTTCTACCCACCCCCAACAAAAACTCTGAGAAGTCTCTCAACTCAACCTGTCAGGTCTGTTTCCCTTTGGGTGAATGAAAGACTGATGCCTGCTAGGACAGAGAGGAGGCACTGATGAAACAATGGTCCTCACCTGAGTTCCACCCATCCCTGAACCTGCATGAGACCCAGTCTCCTGTCACCCTCCCACAGGTAGGCTGTCTGCCTCCAGGAAGTATTCTCAAACAAATCAAATGAAAGGCTATCACTTTCACCTAGTCCCACTTTGTCTAAACATAAAACTTCTGAACTCCTGTATCTGCTCCCTCTCCCCACAAGGTCATTGCACTATGGGCCTTCCCTCTAGGTTTGCTCATCTCTTTGGCTTCTCTGCACAGATACCAGTATTTCATGTTTGCAAGTTCACTGCTCATGACCTCAGCCTGTGGAACTTCTGTGCACCTTCCTTACCTCTCCCATTAGACAGTGGCTTCCTTGAGAGCAGGGACAATGTTGGTCATTGATGAAACTTTAGCACCTTGTACTGTGCTTTACATGTAGCAGACACTCAATTCATGTTTACAGAAACCATGAATGAATAAATGAATGAATGAATAAATGGTACCGGCGAGTCGGTACCAGTGAGATGTGTTTTCTGGGAAGTATATCCATGTGTGCACTGGGTGTGGAGTTAGTGTCCTGTACTCTGGCTCATACAAGAGTGAGAGGAATGTGTGCACTCTCTGTTACATCGTATATTTCTGCACTGCAATTTACAACATAGGTGTGCAAACACACCATAGATATACACCTGTGTAGGGTGTGCCCATGTGTCCCAAATGTGGAGACACTTGGCCAAGGTTAAGAAAACTCCCCCTCCCTCTGCCCCAATGAACCTTCCAGTCCAGAAAGTTTCATCCCACCCCCTTCAGATGTTTGAGGATTTGAAAGTGAGAGGTGGGGAGAGGCTCATTTGCATGTTCACTTACTTTCCCCTGAACCACCTCCCAAAGTCCCTCAAAATAACCTCCCTCTCCCAGGAACCTGAAACCAAAGAAGACATCACCACAGAAAGCCCGTCTTGCTGTTGGCTGCAGAGGCCCACACCAGGGGCTTCCCTCCCCAGCGTCCTTACAGACTGGGACATAGCTTCAGTAGCCAAGAGCCCTGGACAAATTCTTGCTGGCAAGTAGGGGTTTTAGGAGGTACACACAAACACTTGGCACAAGGAACTGAGGAACCTGGGAACCCTTAGTAACCAGTGGTGAATTCTCCCCACCCAGCCCCATCATTGCACAGCTGCAGTGAAAGTCTGCACCCAGGGTGGCAAAAGCTCCACATCTTTGACTGCCTTCAAGGCCACTGCAAGATCCCTGGCTCCTAGGGCCTGTCCTACCTGGGCTGAAAGCAAAGCCTCCGTGAGAGCATATGGCCCCTAGATGTTGTGTGTGAGTCTGTGTGTGTCACAGGAGGAATCGAGCAAGCGAGGGAGCCTACATCCTCTGCCTGCAAATGCACACCTCTGACTCTTTGTGGTTCTGACTGCATTTCAAAACCAAAATAGCAAAATACAAGTGGTTTGAGCTGCTCCTGTGTCACCACACCTGGGTCCCCTTCAGACATAAAGACCCTTTCTGGGGCTGTCACTGGAACATGTCAAGCGGTGTCCAGCATCCACCCACCAGGGCCTCCTCTACAGGAAGCTGCCCCTATGTGAAAACCACATCCACAGTCTCTGTGGAGTAAGTTTAAATCTATACCCATTTAGTTGAGCCAATGGCTCTCACTGAATTGCTAACACCCATGGCATTTCCACACATGCCAGGAAACATAGGGGCCAGATGGTCAGCTGGGCCACAAAGCAGAGTTCTTGTCCTCCAGTTCTTTGTCCCCTCCATGCCAGCTCTCACTTCTAAAATACCCGGTCCCCTATGAAACCTTTCTGGAATTCTCTGGAAAGGAAGTGACAATTTCCTTCATGCCATTTCCCACTCCGTCAACACTCTTCCCCCACAACCACAAACAAAATGGAGACTACCCCAGGAATAGCTGTACCCTCCACTGAAAAACAGCCCCTCCTCCAGCTAATAGTCATCCAGCAGCAAATTTGCATGATGTACCATGTGACCAATGACATGTATTTAAGAGACAGAAGGCCAGAGTCAGGGATCCAATCTCTAGCCACGGACCACAAAAAGAGCAGAGGTAACCCATCCAAAGGATTCCTGCACAACCTTGACTCAGATCACAAGCTGAACTCTCCTCCTTGAGCAAATGCCCAGCAAGGGGACCACAGTCACAGCTATTTTGTCAGCTCCTCCCCTGTATTCCTTTCTTTCTACCACCCTCTCCATTTAAGATGAAATCAGGAAGAGGGAGGGGAAAAATAAAGGTTTTGTAAGCTCTGTTGGTTGAGGTTTCTCTGTGCGTATTCACAAGAAATCCAGTTTCTTTCCTTGGCCCTTGGTCACTGCCTGATTCCAGTACAGGGCTTGCTTTGGTGGTGAGGCAGACACAGAGCTGCTCTCCAGCTGTCCCAAGCCTTTCTCAGCTCTAGTCTTGTCTCTACCTTCTCAGGCCCTGAGCTGTCCCAGTGGGGGGACAATTAGGGCTGCAGGAGATAGCAGACTGCAGACAGAGAAATGTCCCCTCTTCTTTTTCCAGGAGATCCACTAGGCGACCTACAGTGTGTGCCATAGCTGGCCAAGTTGGGGGAGGAGGAGGGAAGCCTTCTCCTGGCTACATCCCAACAAGATGTGTGACCCTGGAAAAGTCAGCCCTCTTTCTGGGCTGTGGTTTCTGTCATCCTTAAAGTGGGTGAGGGCTGAGGGTAATCCAGGCTTAGCAGATGCTCACCAGAAAGTCTCAGGTGAATGAAGATGGTGGTGGGAAAACACTGAAAATTAAAAAGCACTCATCCAGATAATTAGTTTCAGATGACCTCCCAGAGACCAAGTGGAACTGGGGCCCCATGAGGGCCCTAGAAGTCCCACCACTGGCTCCAGAACATAAGATGAGGCCGGAGGCTTTCTATTGTTGGCTTGGAGGGGCTGGCTCCTCACCTGGGTTGGGGGCCACATAGGGAGGGGCTGCTGTGGTTGGAGTGCTCCTGGTACCCTGTCCTTACCACCTTCACCCTGCCCCAGCCCTTTGGGATGTGGTTAAGTGACAAGAAGAGCACTACAGAAGCCCAATAGGGGAGGAGGGGCAGGGGAAGGGTTACTGACAAAGGGAACCTGATTTCCTGGCTGCTCTGACTCCCAGGAGCCTTGCCTGAGAAAGCCAAAACAGCACTTCCTAGAGGTGCCTGCGGCTAACACATTCTTGTCTCTAGTGCTTCAGAGACAGGGAAGAGGCAGAAGGGCACTAAGCTCTTCTGAGATGTGAAAGACAAGTTAATGACAGGAGAACACATTGCAGGAAAGGGGAGCAAAGTCAAGTCCAAGGCAGCTACTGAACCCCAGTATGGTGGGCCACCAGCAA